AACAATTTCAAGAAAAAAATACAAAGATGGACCTATTCAACGACAATCAGTAGATCAGAAGTTACGAAAACTTGCAGAAACAGCAGGATTTTCAGACATTTACGCAAAAGATTCCAGTGGATATTTTAAAGACATAAAAGATTTTATTTATCTAAACGGCGGAAAAAATCGACCACAGGATAAATCAACAATCAATATTTTTAGTTTTTTAAATTTGAAAAACGAAATTTTAGCCTTTCTAGGATGGCCATATTACATCTTAGAAAGATTGACAGTATTATACGCAATGTTTAATTTTATTGGATTTATTTTTCTTTATTAAAAGGAATTTATTACACATGCGCGATCCAAACACAAGTCAAAAGACAAGCGAGCGTAGCACGCATACTTTTTGCAGGATTTTTCAGAATATTTAAAATGCTTTTATACTATAAGTATACTATACTATTTTTATACTATTTTATACTATAAATAAAATACTTTTAGATGCACAAATAAAAGAATACAATATAAAATTATCAACTACACCAAACACATATGACGAATCACATAATAACACAAATACATTACCTACAGCACCACAACTCCCAAGTTTAAGTCGTAACCATCCATTATCACTAGTACCACGGAATTTCAGAAACTTAGCACTAGCAAACATCGCAAATTCAAGACCAAATCATATACAAAGTCCAATTCAACACATTGTAACACAATAATCTCAAAATGACGATACATATGAACAAATAATCGAACAGCCACATACAAGAAGTTTTCAATCTCAGAACAATAATTTTTTTAGCCCACAATGAGCCGACAATTTGGATCCCTTCACCGTTCCATTTCCCACCCAGCCAACCTCCAAAACCCAATTCCCATCATCCCTTTTTTTGCTTTCCCGCCACCTGAATCACCCCATGTTAACACATCGTCCGGCATGGATTCTGACACTAATTCAGACATCACCGTTTTTAATACAATTTACCAATTTAATAACTCAGAAATCGAAACCCCAGACGAATTTGCAAACTCCGAATCCAGCCCACCAGCATTTTCCCAACCCCTTTTCGACCTTTTCACTCCCAGTCCACAAATGCTTCCCCTCATCCGTTTCACATATTTCCCAAGCAACTCCGACATACTCCCCCTTTACCAATGACCATTCCAACAACGATTCCCCAGAAACCACACAAATTTCACAAGAACTAGATAATCTAATAACACTTCAACAACAAATACAACATCCTCACACTCTAACTATTCACCAATTATCATCAAACATAACATCATCAAACCCATCAACTCCTACACCCTCTTCAGATTATACCCCTTCTTTCGATCAATCCTCAACATCAACCCATTCATCATCCACAAATAACCGTGCATATAGAACGTTCAGAAGAAAATTTTCTAACCACCCGCTTCCCTCCACACACGGAGCAGCCCGCGATTATGTAAGCTACCCTGACCACACTAATACTCCAGCCTTTCTCCAAACTTCCCTACCCCTCTTCCCTCAATATACCCTTAGTCATTCCAACCCTCACACTGAACAACCCCACTATGTCAATGAGCACGTACTAATCCCTACAATTCACTTGACATCATTTTATTATTTCTCCAATCCACTATGTATACCACAAAATAACACACCTCACGAAATTTAAAAAAGTAAAATTGACTTTTTTAGACTAACCACAGCACTAACACCTAGACAGTTTACTCACGTAGGATATAGAAAGCTGCTAAAAACTTTCACTGCACCCCGAGCTAATGATTATTCTATTGAATATTATGATCACAAAATCCTCAGACCTAACCAAGACCAATTTCTCGACAAAGATAAGTTCGCTAACCCACAACTAACAGAAAAATTGTTCATCCAAACACCCTACATCTTTACACTAAGCTCACTAGACAAAAAACAACCACCTTATTTCCGAAGCACTAATCGACATCCAGGCTTATGAATCATTTTACGATAACTTTAAAATTTTTTCTCACTCAAAAAGAACGAGATCTGCACTGTTTACACGACATCATGTTACGAACTAAACAAACGCACACTTACTCATATTATAGATTCATTCAAAATCATTTTAATTTACACACACCTTCACGACAACCCCACCATCGTTTTCAGTTTATTAATTCAAAATACATTTCACCATTTTTCTTAAAATTCGCATACTGTATTAAAGACACTAACTTCCAAGGAATCCTCAGAAGTTATGACCCTATAACCCAAATGTAAATATTTTGTCCACTCACCAAGACCTTTAATGCAGAAGAATCCCGACCCTTCATTGTCCCGCATGAACATATTCAACCTATAGAGATCCCAATATTAGAATTCATTAACAATACTAAATATAATCACAAGCTTTTTAACCTCATTCAACACACCAATCACTTGTTTTCTGTAGGCACCGAAGAACTAAACACCATAAAAGCACTTCAACTGCTATGGTCACTACTCGAAACTAAAAACATCATTCGCATATTAGCAAAATTACTAACCACATCAATTTCAATTCACGATATCTTCCCTCATGGCTTCTTCCCCGATAATTAGGTAAGTATAAATTAAATAATTTACACTAATAAATTCAAAACAGACTAACCATTTCTTATTAAATGTTTCTTCATTAGTCTTTACATCAGCATCATCCACGAAAACAGAAAACAGAAATAAAAATTGCAAACTCTTTTATACATTATAAACTTACTTTTCAAATAGCAAAATCTTTCATAATTCATAAACTTTTATGAACTAACAGCAATAAATGACGCAGTAAAATTTTCTCTCCACAGCAATAAACTCATCTATAAATTCTTTTCCCCAATGTAGTAAACCTAAATACATTGAAAAAAATTTAATAATTTCAATCCCCTCAAGTTAGTAAATTTAAAATTTTCAGCAGTTAAATTATACAAATGTCAGCTTTACTAACCTTTTCAAGAATCAATCGCACACAAATTTTATCCACACTCGCACAACTCGCCCACGACGAATTGTTTAAAATGATGATTTCAAGTTTCAACTTTCACTGATAACAACTCAAACTAATAATAACAAGTTTCAAACCGGTTGGAAAGGAATTATATAATAATCCCAACTAACCAACACAGCTTACAAACACAATGAAACACAAACTAACAGCATGACTAAGAAAAGAAAACCCACAGTACCCAAACTGGATTAAAACAGCTTAAAAAACCGATAATTTATTCTTTTGAAGACTTTTGATAAGGCAAAAAAAGAAAGCATAAAACGCCAAAAAGTCGAAAGACAAACCCAAACCAAACAAATTGATTTTTAAGAAAAGGACAAAACTAAAACAACAAAAGGAAAAAACCAGAAACAAACGCGACACAAAAAGTTAACACAAAACAGGACCCCAAAAAAAACCAGCATGAAATCATACCCTCACTCCTGGCCTAACCCACCAGAAGAGGACGAAGTCCTGAGCATGCTTAATAGCCGGCCTAAACCACCGTGCTAGAATCCACGCTTTGTGACCAACTCCTTAATTTTGATAAGAGGTACTCAAGTGTGAGTAACTCTTTTAAAATAACTGAACTAAAAATAAAAGCTTTTGCGATACAAACTAATAAAAAACCATAACTAAAAGAAGGACTAACGAAACATTTAATTATGTAAAATATATATTGCAGTAATATAGATCATACAAAATTACGAAGACGAGCATCAAGCAGCTAAGACGAGCTCATCACGCATAACCTACAGAATGGCTAAACACAACCGATATGCCGCTCACAACCACAACTCAAAGGATTTAAAGTACGATTTGACTCCGAAGCAAAGGAATTCATTGAAACAGACCAATGACCACCTCGATGTTCAAGTATACGTACAGATCCGTGTTACAGGGCATTTCCTCCAACTCGAACTTCACGCCATTCCTAATTCAGATCGAAACATAGTTCTCCACACCGATCAAGAACAGACGATCATAACAAACCATCTTGAAATCAGACTGATTTTGTTAACGATCTAAGTCATCGTTGAAGGACAAGATGAAATCTACGATTCCAGTTTCCTGGAGCTTCCTCCTCCAAGAATGGAAAAGAAATGATGCTCGCGAAACACGAACAATCAATCATCCATCCTCCCCTACAGAAATAAGTCAAAGAAACAAAAACTCTGTAAACCCCGGATAAGTGGAACCTGATCCAAACTATATATTATTATTGGTTCTAAATTAGATATTTTATCCCTAAAAAATATTGAAGACTAACCAATCATACTTCATCTAACTAACAACCCATTTATTTGTAAGTGCTGAAATTACTTGTAATTTCAGCACCAGAGCATTCTGAATTTAACTTACAGCTTAGTTGCCTTTTCCAAGAGACCAACTCGTATCCAACCAGTATACTCTAGATCTATTGAGACTAAGAGATATAAGAGTAAGATTAAGATCGGTATTAGACTAAGAAGTTGCGCGAAGGCCGAAAATAAGATAGCGTGACGAGCAGACGGTGTACCTTATCTGAAATTACTCTATGAGTTAGACCATCCGTTCAAACTCAGGTAATGCCCTGTCAGCGTCAAAACGCGGGTAATTTTTTACTAACAGTGGGGATGGGGAAGAGGAAAAACACGTTTAATCGAATTCTCAACTTATATGTGACTGTCACTATTGATTAAAATATTTAATAGCGAAACATCTGGTCCAAATAACGCGTTCCTAGTAGAGAAACATTTCACTTCGTACTTGAAACTGCATGTTTGAATATGAGAGAGGAGAAGATATGCCGAAAAAATCTTTCTATTGGAATTTGTCATTTTTTAACCAAAAACTACCTCAGATACTTACAAGAACTGTTAGAACATTCAGGGCTCATAAGTTTAAAGGGCAGTTGAACATGCCTCGATGCGAGCAGTGCGTTTTTACATGTGGTTAAGAATCTGCAGCACTTTACTCGGACGGTATATGAGCTGTACTGTAGTGTGTGTGTCACTGTTGTGTACTGACTTGGGACTTTTTCTGTGTTTTCTCAGGAGTGAGTATGTGGAGAGTGCACTGAGGATGAAGCAGATGAGTTGACTGCACACCATCACAGGGAACACGAACGACTCCGAGTAGCGCACTGCCCTGCACAACACCCCAGACTCCTCCTGTCCCATTTGCCCCCCATCGCCCACGTCGTAGTCCTCATGCGCCATCGCACTACAACCTTTTCGATTGTTTATTTATAAGATAAAACAGCAATATTTAATTTTTTTGGAGATCAATTCAATTTATGCACTTTCTATGCGACAATGAGAAACACTAATCGTTTCCTGATCGGTATAGAAAGAGGAAACGACTGTAGTTTATGTGATCTTGGATGATTTTGAATAATGAAATTGAGTCAGAAAACTTAGTCGAGATCTATTGTAATCAGTAATTGATGAAATGGCTTGCGCGAAAGTATAATATTTTCCTAAACTATTGAACGTTCTTGACTGAAAAGAGATATCAGTTCAGAAGGTCAATCGGAGAAGTTCTCAATACAACAAACCAATCTCGCGCCTGCTTCTGCAGTTACTGATCAACTGCGCAAATATTGAGGTCACTTTGCATCCTTCTCATATGTCCGCGTCTTGAATGATATGCAAGTTCTCTCTTATCAGCTGATTGTTGACCTTTTAGCTCTTTCGTGTATTTCTCAAACCGAGCCAAGTGTCCTGCCATTTTGCTGTATTTTGAAAACTCCATTTAGGTTCAGTTCTGAAAATTTTTAGAAATTGTATTATTCTCGCTAAAAAAACTGATGCATTGAGAAAAAATATAGATGAAACAAATTTCAAGCCACTGAGGAGTTTTGCTTAAAACTTATCAAACATTGAATAAAAAGCGACTTTCAATCCTTTCGAGGTAAAAAGAACTTTTGTTTCATAGAAAATTTAAAATTAAGACTTTTAATTACTGTCGCAAAATTTTTAAGGAAACTTTCGAAAGGTTTTGAAACGTGTTTTTTTCTAGGTCCAATACTCATCATAAAATCGATATCATCCAAACAACAAGTTTCAAAATCTGAGGGCATTCAGTTTTTTATGTTGGAGTATAAAAGAATAGTAGAAAAACCTTATTTCAACGATGTTTGTCCTTTTAGAGATTGTATCAGGAATTTAGGCATATTACTGCAGCTTAAAAATTACGAAAAATTGAGAATTGTGAAAATTAAGAAAAAAGAAGAAAAAAAAGACAAAAAGAAAAGAAAGGAAAAAAGAAGCTTAAGAAAAAAAAATATGATGATTTTTTTTCATTGATTTTCGCGTTTCTCACAATGGTTGAAACAAGAAGACACTATCAGGCAAACTAGAGAAGCTTTCAAGTGAATTAGTATGATTGCGGTAAACGGTCCATCAGATTTGCTGCAAGGAAAATGATAGTATAGAAGGACAAAGCCTCGAGTGTCCCGACTGTTCGTCAACTTGTCTCAAATAGTTTTAGTACAGAGATTTTGAAAAATTTTGTCCTACAATGTAACCTTAGAGATTGGCATTTGACTTGTTTAGGAAATTAGTATGACCAGCTAGCTCGATCGACTTTGAGCAGTTTTGAGTGCGAGACAATTCGCCTCGCAAAACTAATTCGCGTCATACATTCAAATATAAAAACTTTCAAATACCCTTAAATGAGTCCAGACATGGCCACTATGATTTTTTTAAAAACCCGAAAACACCACAAACAGTTCTTTGCATTTTAAAAAACATTTAACCTCTTGTAGTCCATATCCTTTTTGGTAAGAACTGTTCTCATAAAAACTTTTTGTTTGCTTAAGTTGGTTTGAACCATCCTAAACAAACACTTCCTTATTTCTTTTCAAAAATCTCAACCCTTGCAATTGATAAAAATTTTAAAAAAACACTAACAAAGTGAAAAAACTTTGAAAAAATTGAAAATTACTCTGCAACCCCAGCTTTTTCAACTTAGATTTTTTGTTAAGAATCAGAGTTAGAGCAACAAAGATCAAAGGCATGGTTTAGAGACTGAGACATATTCTGAGGTTTGAACTAAGGATTGAGAAGAGGTAGTGATTGATGAAGAATGAAATGAGAAAGTGAATATCAATGACATGACAAAATGAGCATCACAAAGTACCAGTTAATAATTACCAACTTAATAAAATGTTTGTGATCTGAGTTTAGTCAGTTTTGACTGCTTTAATCAGTTTTTGCCTCCAAACTGATTCGTTTCAATTTCAAATATTCTGTCAGACTTTGGGATGGTCTGCCTCCAACACTCCAACTCAAGCTGAATTGGCTTTGTCTAAAGTCAGACTGCAACCCATCAAAGTCCAACGATGTTGGTCCAACTTAGCCTTGCTCTGGGTTTTCGTCAACAATTCAGCTTCATGATCTCATTAGGGCAATACTGGAGTTCAACTGTCTCAGCTTACACTCAATCTCGAAGAAAGTGGTATTTTACATCGATTTGCTTCGTTCGCTTCTGCATCACAGGAATCTTGTACATCTTGATTCCAGAATCTTTTGATTTGTACAGCGCTGGTTTTCATTCTTGATGACTGTTGGCCCGTCATAAATCACGCCGCCCATCTCATCGATAAGTGATCGCAGACAAGGCGCCTTTTGAAAAGCTGCTGCCCCTGCTTGGTACTCAGCCTCACTGGTAGATATAGCTTCAGTTGTTTGCTTCTTGCTGCTTCAACTAACTGCTGCTCCTGCTATCTGCAAATGAAAGTTGTAGCCAAAAATTTTTGGGGATGTCAGAATTTGCGGATGATCAAAAGAGTCTTGCATGATCAGTGCCTTTCGTGTAGCACAAATTTAATTCTTTGCTCCCCTTCGGGTAACAAAGAAACCTCTTTGCAGCCACCCAGTGCACCCTTTCCAGACTCTCCCGGAAACGGGAGCGTTGCGTCACAGAAGTTAGGGTATCTGGGCTTGTTTGATTAGCTATGTATAATAATGAGCCCGCAATGTCTCTGTAGTACACAGCTTTCATGGACACTGCCTCTGCTGACCCAGCTTCAGAGCAGTCCTTCCTTGACTGTTGCTCGTTGATTTACACTGCTGTGCCTACTTGTTTGCAGTGAGATAGGCGCAACTCATAGAGACTTCGCTAGTGAAGTACACTTGACTATCGCCGCCGTTGATCCCCTCTCACTGCTCCCTGTACACTGTTTCTGTTTGAGGAGAGTTCGGGAATTACAAGGTTATCTTTTACCCCCAGAGCCAGCAGTATCCTCTTTGTTTTGCATTTGTATGGCGAGCAAACGTCTAATTGAGGTCAATTTCCTACTTGAACCCTTTTACTACATATCTGGCGTCAACCGCTCCATTTGTCTCATCGCATCTCTCTTCACAGCAAGTGACCATTGTCCAGGAATAAGTTTTCAGGATCGTGGTCTAGGAAGTGTCCATGTTCCCATTGCATCTAGAGTTTTTTACTCTAAAGCCATCGCTACCAGCCACTGCTCCTTTTGGTTCCAGTTTCTGCTTCTAAATAGCTCCTTGGCTGTTAGATTCCAGTAACTTAAGCCAGTACTTATTGAAAGGGTGTGTTACTTGTCCTCATGAACCTCTGCATCTACTGATTCCTACTCAACCTGATCAACCTGATGATCTTCAGTAGCCCCACTGAAAATGCTGTATTAACCTCAGTTGGTGCCCTTGCCGCTTCCCTCGTTAACGTCGTGTTTGGTTGCTCATTAGCAATGCATCCGCCGATTGATAGCTTCAGGCTTTGTAATGATTCAATTTCAACCATAAACTCATCTGGAAGTTTTTTCTTTGAGTTTCACGCTTCTTGCTCACACCACTTGTCTTGTCTCTAGATCCATCAGCAAGTAGGTTTTGCTCTCTTCGTCCTAGCCAATGAACTTGTTTTTCTTGCCATTTAGATTCAATTTCCGTCCATTGCCTCGATCTAGATAGAATGCCAGGCATCCAAACATACGCAAGCAACTTAGCTTTAATGTTTTCCCAGTAGTTCATCTCCGTCGGTGAAAGGCGTTTCTCATTGCTGGATGTGGGAAATGAATTGCGAACCCTCACAGATGTCAATGTTGCTGCTCGCAACCAGAACATCTTCGGTAGTTTTGCTTCTGCCAACAGACATTGACTCATCGCGATGACCAATTTGTTGTGGCGCTCTGTTGTTATGGGGCATAGTGAACTATTGCTTCACCTGGGATTCTCTTCAAAAACTTTTATAATCGTTTGACGAAATTTCATCTCCATTATCAGTTCGCAGGCCTCTTGGTGCCCCATGATCAGCTATAAACTCCTGAAACTTCAGTAGAGCATCACTCACCAGGTACTAGAGCATAACCAGCTGGCGGAAGTCGTCGATAAAGCTCAAAGCATAGCGTGCACCATGCACACTCGGTACTTCAAATAGTCAATGGATGTCACCGAAGACCCGTTTCCCCAGTGCCAATGCTTTGCTGCTAATCTTCATAGACACTGCTTCTTCATGCATCGTGCAAACTAGATGCGCGCTGACAAATGACAGGCAATGAAAGATTCTACCGATTGAGGTGCCCCACGCCCCCGAGTCGGTTCAACAAAGTTACATCACTGATATAGCTCTTTGTCTTCGTCACTAGTGTTATCAGATTCCTCCTAAATTTGCACTCAGAAAGAAAAACTTGCCGCGTCGCCTCACAGGTAGCTGTGCCCTCTCTGGTGCCATTAGTTCCCAAGCATCAGCGGTGAAAACGAAACTTGACCCACAAGCTTGTGCTGAGCTCACTTTCATCAAGTCCACAGTGCAGCCCGGCACAAACAGCACCTTGTGAAAACTTTAACTTACACAGCATCATGGCAGTACCCGATTTCCACTTCCACTTCCACTGATATTTTGCCTTCAATCCTTGACAAAGTGCCATTGCCCTTCTGCTTCTGCAAAGTTGTCCCTCCGTTCCAGGTCTCAAAGCTAGAAAAAACAGCCCTTTCGCGCACCACATGATCAGTTCACCCCGTATCCACAATGATGTCGTCTCTCTTCATTGAAGTTGTAGCACAGCAACTGAAGAACCCTGTCCTCCCCTGCTTGCACTCGCTTGTAAAAAATCCAGGTTGCCTACAATTGAAGCATCTTTGCTTCTTTGCTCCTGGCTCACTTGACCCGTTCGACCCACTGCATCGAGCACTAGATTTATCTTTGTCCTTTTTGATTTTGCAGTCTCTTGTTTTATGATTTTTTTGACTGTATGCATACCAGCCATTACTTGACACTCTTTTCTTTTTCCTATGTATGAAAAAGAATGGCTCTGTATGAAAGCCATCTAAAGCCATTGGTATTAAAGTCATATAAACCTGATTCAATGTTTTCCCATAGTTCATCTCCGTCGGTGAAAGGCGTTTCTCATTGCTGGATGTGGGAAATGAATTGCGAACCCTCACAGATGTCAATATTGCTGCTCGCAACCAAAACATCTTCGGTAGTTTTGCTTCTGCCAACAGGCATTGACTCATCGCGATGACCAAATTGTTGTGGCGCTCTGTTGTTATGGGGCATAGTGAACTATTGCTTCACCTGGGATTCTCTTCAAAATCTTTTATAAT